TAGCCTATCTCCGGCGCCCTGTAATCGAACCCCCCTCCGAGATATCGGAACAGGTACCTCCCGGTCCCAGCTCCAGTGGTCTACCACTCGGCCGCTGGGGTCGGTTGGATCTGCACATTTGGCGGACGGGCCCGACCACCTATGTATTCACCATCTCGCCCTCGCAGCCAGAGGGAGTCAAGTTTTCCCAGCCTAAACCTTGCCAGTGGGCGACAGCAATTTATTGGCGTCTCCGTTGCTAAAGATTGGATCGGAACTGGGCGTGGCGCCCGACTTGTCGCTTCGGCATCTCCCACGATTTCGTTTTGAATATGACTAGGTCACTGTGTGTCGGGGTTGCGTCGTGGGAGCTCGCAGGAATTAACCAGTGGAGGAAGTGGGTATGGTCAGATTACGCCAGGGCTCTGACGGGCCGCATTGGCTTTTTTAAGAGGGCCTGCCCGAGCTACACACAGTCTCGGAAGGTGACAGTCAGTGTTGGGCTGAGCACCTCAGGCAGCACGGAGTAGTCTTTTACGCCCACCCCAGTCACCACCGCTTCGCGTGGGGAGTACCTCAAACGGTTCCTGATGGATTTCTACGTCAGGCTCTTTTGCACTAAGCTATTTTGCTGCACAAGCGCCGGCTAACCAGCCCTTTACTACCCTTAATGGAGCGGCTAGATGCTGTCATTTGCTAGGATCTGTGGCAACGGGCGGCGGCGCATCAGCAATCATACCAGGTCTGGAAGCATGACAACGGACTCTCCGACTTTCAAGTTTGGACGGCGTATCGCGTCGCCACCAAGCTGCTTATTTTTTTACGACGGCATGCTACCGACACTAGCTGCCGGGCCCTACCGGTGTGTCACGATTTGCCCGAAACTTCGAGGCACGTATTTTGGGATTGCCAGAAGGCGCGAGCGTGCTGGGGTAAATTCCTCAGCCATTGGACTGGCGCTTCTGTGTCGAGTGCGGTTGTTGCTAGTTGTCTCGGCAACTGTGCGAATCGTCAGGCTCCGGCGATCCCGGTGCTTTAGCGGTCTCGTTTGCTCGAGCGGTTTCAAGATGATGCCGCAGAGGGCGAATTGGTAAGGCGACGGATTTGGTTTTTGATGTGTTACAAATGCATTACGCACTTATGGAGCGAGTACAACGATGCAGTGTTTAGGGGCGTGCAGTCAACGACGGCTCAAAGTGTCGCCCGTTTCTGGACTACGGGCGTCCGTCAATTGACGGCCTTGGCAATGCGTGAACATAGAGGGGCGGCGACAGTGCTTCAAGGAACTAGATTACATGCCTTCCTTGAACTGTTTACTCTGGAGGCTAGCGGGTATTCGCTACCACTAGAGGGGTGCCATGAACTACCGCCGCGACCGGCGCTGTATTCTCGGCTTAGACGATTTTAGACTTCTAGCGCATAACCACCAGGTGTAATAGACAATTATGAATCTCTCTCATCACCGGACGAAGAGAATCTGGCTCGGTGCTGCATAAACGAGCCGGGACTGGATATTTTTGGGGCCTCGCCGCTCTGGATGGAGTTCGCATCTTGGGACAGGGGTGCCCGCGCAGCGAACGAGTCGGCGGTGAGGGCTGCTTGCGGAGGTCAGGAACGGACGTGGTGAAGGTGAGCTGACATAAGTCGGCAATCTTACACCGCGGGACGAACGACAGATTGCAACCCGTTTCGATTTGCAAGCCACAATGCCTCTCGTGGCACGCGCAGCGCAGAGAAGGTCTCATCCTTTTGCCTTGTCTCCAGTATGCAGGACTTCTCGTTTAGGGAAAGGTGGCCAGTGCACTGCGCCTTAAGGACCTCGTCTCTATCCGTATATGCACAAGGCTGCGGGGAATCGTAAAAAAACACCAGTATTCGCCTAAAAAAACACCGTTACGATGAGGCTATCCATTAACCTTGCTTAATATATCCACATCAGGGTAAAAAAATACCACTTTTAATTGAACTTCGCTAGAAACGTTTCTAAGATAAGTCGGACCCTCCCTTTTTTGACCGGAATGCGGTCGAATACCTTCAGTCTGTCGCGGGCAAAAGAGACTTTAAAACGTATTTTTTGGGGTTGTCTAACCGCCCAGGGTTGCTGGCTTACATTCATAACCTACTGGACCGGATGCACGGAAACTCCGACCAGTATGCAGCTTCATGCGAGTTTTTGCATGTCATGGACGTCTCCGCCGTTGAATCCGATCATTTCACGGCGGCTGCTGAGCGCGTTTGGACATTCAATGGAGGCTTATGTGTGTCAATGGAAGCGGATGTGGTGGGTATTATGTTTAATATGTATCACGATTATATGGGTTTAGCTCGATCGGGTCTCTTACGAAGGTCTTTCCGTCACTTTGGCGGGATGTATGTTCGAATACATAGTTCAAAGTTTTCGGCAATTACACCCCTTAGCGATGCGGGAGTGTAGGAAGCTACACACCCAGGTGGCCGGAACTCGTCTAATGCAATGCATCGGGCTGCTCACCACGGCCCCATCCAGAGCACCGCACACAGCGGTGAGACTCGTCCAACCATTGGATCATTCGACACCGGCGTTGCTATCCTGGCTTAGGTCTTTCCAGACGTCTTGTACACCATAATTTCGTATAATAGACAGTCTGTTCCCCTCTCTCTCTTAAACGGACTGCAGTCTTCACTTGCGAGACGACGGCTCCTGCAACGGCGCAGGTACAAGCCAAGGGCGTGACGGCAACATCTGTAGCGACGATTTTTGAACCGGTGGAGCTTGCTGCTGTTGATACATAAGCGGCCTCGTACAAGACAGTCTTTGCAGCGGCGGGATTGGCTGCGTCGTCGCTGTGAGAGCGAAAGGTAAGATGGTGGCGGTATGTCCAACAGCATTAACATTTTTACACACCCATTAGTTGTTAATATGGGGCTATTGACGCTCTCCTTAGCATTACGTCGGCAAGGACATGTCTCCTCGGCATTATCTATGGGAGTCAACAAAAAGTAATTCACCGATGGCTTTGCGCAAAATATATCTTTTGCAAGCAGAAAGTAGACCAACCCACGCCATTTTATTATATGGTGTGATCGGTCGTGCCATATCAAATCTAAAATACACACGCGACGCTAGTTAGCCCTGTTGCACAAAACCTGTCAGAAGCAGCATTACCAACCTGCTATTACTTCCTTAAGAGGAGAACAAGTATAACCATGTTATAATACTGCAATAAACGCCGATGGGAAATAGGACGGCTTGTGCCAGCGTGAATTCAAGTAGACCGGTACCATATACTGCAGTCTCCTTAACAACACATTTCATTTAGCTCCAATAATGATGGTATGATTTCACACGGCATCGCAAGGATCTAATGCATTGTGCCAATACAAAAAGCAAGCAGCGTCGGTTTGATCGCAGACACCGTAAGTCGCACCGACACGTTTAATAACCTTAGGATTAAGTCGATAATGGTGACCATGATCGCTCCAGGCCCCCTGCAACCATCGCCACAACATCATCAACCAGCTGTAAGTTCTCGTACCTCATTTTTCTATGCGCACGTCAACGTACCTGGACTCTACTAGAAGTAAAGACTTTACACCAGCAAAAGAGTTGTTAAACTTCAAGAACGCGACACCAGCGTGGGTCTGCTCAACATCAATAAAAACGATACATAGAAAAATACCAGCAAAGGCAATTTACACAACAAAATGTGGTTTAGTTTGTTATTCACTCAGTCATCAGCCACATCTAAAAAAACACAATTTTTCTATCTGTCTCGCATTTCTTTAGCTATGACTCCACCGACTGCAACAGCCCGTCCCCCGTTTACTACAATTGTATACTCAGATGATTGGTGGCGATCTTTAAAGACGGCGGGAGGGAAGGCCGAGAAAGAGAAGTACAGGAGCAACAGCGAGGAATGCGCCGTGACACAGTCGACGTGACGGTATGCACGTGCAGCGATTGCTGAGCGTGTGCAAGGGCTAGGCCCTGAGCAGGCTATCAACAAATTGGGACTGCAGTCCGTTTAAAAAGCGGAGTGTCCGACTTATCTTAGAAACGTTTCTAGCGAAGTTCAATTAAAAGTGGTATTTTCTTTACCCTTTTGTGGATATATTAAACAAGGTTAATGGATAGTCTCATCGAAACGGTGTTTTTTAGGCGAACATTGGTGTTTTTTTACGATTCCCCCAAGGCTGCCACTTGAAGAGTCTGTCACAACTTCAGACCAGATTGCGCTACCACCACCTTTCCTATCTGCATCAGTTTGACAATCTCTGGATGCACCGTGTATCTTCGAAGACGAAGGATGTAGAAGGCCCGGATCAGATCGTTAACCTATAAAAAACACTTTTACTCGCGTCAGCGAGCAGTTACCAGATCAAGAGTTGGCGCTACGGACAACAACGAAAGGACTGCCTGCAAAGCTAGGCCGCGCGGGAAGCACGAGACGGTCTTCGCACCGGACTTTCTAACAAACAGACCTCAATGCCATTTTCAGAGGCACTCCTCACGCCTACCCTGGCATTTCCACACCAGGGAATGAGGCGCAACATCGAGGCTTACCACAATGTGTGTCGCGAGTAACAAGGGCTGTTGTGGATGCTGTACGAATGACGCAGGTGTGGGTCGATCGGAGCTCCACAGCAATAGTTGAAGAAAGCGAATGTGCTGTTGGTCAGCGCACAGCAAAGCCGGTCTCTCGTCTCTGCGAGCGCCGAGCCATTCTCAAAGAGACCAGAAATACACAGCAACGCAGGATCAGAAGCCACGTGAGCCTTTCCTGAATTGTACACTCGGCAGATGTAAGGAAGGCTCGATGGCAATGACGCACGTATTCTTCCAGATGTAATTCAAGAAATGGATTGTGATGTGTCTCAGGAATGGGACATCCAACACACTCGCTCGATTTGCATAGTACAACAATGCAACTCGCCGCTAGCCGTCCACGCTTGTCGTGCAGCTCGACCTCATTCATCAATTCTCGACGCACCCCGCAGATCGTCTTCTTGTACCGCAGTACCTCTCGACAAGTACAACGGACATGCGCCTAACCGGTCTTTACGTGGCTATCGTTATGGCTTCTCTTCACGCGAATGGCTCTGCGGCCTCCACGTCCAAGGACGTCGACGCGGCGCTGTCTGAGAACAAGGCGACTTCCATGAGTGTCTCCTCTCCACGTGCGAATGAGAAGCGGAGTCTACGTGCCGAAGAGAAGCGCAATTTGGACGGGTTGGATGAGGACAGAACACTTCCTGGACCTTTCGCTGAATCTCTCGGCTCCTCCATCACCCGTGCGTCAAAGGCACCAAGCGAAGCCACTTTACGTTTTCTAATGCGCGAATGGCATTCGTTGTCGCCGGACCTGCAGGCGAAAACCGTGGCTTGGACATACACGGGTGTGCAGAATAAGATCAAGACTATTGTGCAAGAGGGCCGTTTGACAAAGAATGAGGGTTCTGGCTTGTTAAAGGGGATAAAACTCTTATCGCACGCGAATCCCTCAAACGAACCCGCGGTCTGGGTAGAGGGGTTGCTTTTGCTGAGGAAATTTAGTGTCATCACACGGAAGCAGCTCATACAGGCGCTCGAGATATTGACAGGACAAAAGTTTGCGCCGTCTAGTTTGGGAAAGAAGCTGAAGTGGGCGCAGTTAGAGAAGTTGAAGAAGCGACAAGCCAAGCTCTAGTAACGAGAGACGACGACGCACGCTGATTGTCGACAGCATTCCCGGAGGCACTGAACTGTCAATGCTAGGACGATCTTGTCATTGCGACGCCGACACGCATGGCTTCATCAGTCATTACACATGGAGATACATTGGTTTTCACTTCTTCCTGTCACAGGTGCGTGCTTACATTGCTGTCGGTGTGTAGTCAGTTGACAGGGGTACGTAAAAAGCACTTTTGCATTCTGAGGTCTCGAGTTTTGTTGAATGCAATGGCGTAGAGCAACGGTCTAACAGGATCAACAACGACTCATCACGTTACAATCGAAAGTCACCAACTCAGCTATGTAACGGGGCACACCCTTGCGTAACTTAACGCAAGGGATTTGGGTGCCCCGACGGACGTACACGTGGCGAGCGAGGAAGCGTAGGTAGGGTAAAAGTAGAACTGTTATATTAATAAATTAAGTC